AAAGGAAAAAAAGAAAAAAATGCCATTTCTTCGTGTGTAGCCGTCGTTCACCAGCTAAGAGGTTAATTGCAACCGACATTAACAGGAAAGTGTTGCTTCGTGCGCGTTCCTTTTGAAGAAACTGGCTCGCCGAATGCAGCCGAATTAACAAACAAACCATCGTCGTCGCCGTGGCTGGAGAAACGAGAAGGGTGCGAGAAACGACAATGGGAGAACCGGTGAGCAACCAGAGCTCGGACAATTCCCTTTTCCTGTGAAAACGGGGCATTCGTTCAATAATCATCTCGTTGCACTCTGCTTGTAATTGCGCTTCTGCATGCGTGGACGTGCTAATTGATCGATGTGACCGGGCAACAGAAGCGAGAAATAATGACCAGCGAGAACTGTCCGGCACGTTCGGCTCAATCGAGAGAGGAAAATCGAGAATCCGTGAACAGGGACATTAATTGACGAGCCGAACTCGCTGATTCAATGTAACGTGTGATTCGTTCAGGGGGTTGTTGCTCGTTCCCCGAACACTTCGCGGCAACACGACAAATTGTATTCAACAGTTTTGGTTTCACGTCAACCTGTTGGTCGAATGACACGCTCGTTACCGATAAACTTTATGAAATGCCGCCTCGTGCGACCTATTTTTGTTTCATAATTATAAAACGGTCGATAGGTGGGACACAGCTATCGTGGGACACGTGTCGTATAATATTCGTACGCAATTTTTTTTCTGCTCGTCCAACTTTTCATATCGCAAGGCCATCGAACGACTCGCGACTCACTCTGTGTTTCGTAAGAAAGAAAAAAAAAAAACGGAAACGGCGTTCGCGCGGTAATTAACGATCGACGTTCTGTTCGAGATTAGGATTTGTTCAATCGAGAAAAAGTTATGCTTGTCTACTTCATTTTGCAATACAGTAGAACTTCGTTTGCTCGTTTGCTCGAATCACTCGGATGATCGAGAAACAATGGATAATCGATTGTAATAATAAATCAATCGATTTACACAATCAAAATTCGAAATTTGAGAATAACGTCCGATAAACGTATCGATTTGCAATTTGTAAATTTTTTCTTTCTTTATAAGAAAAAATTAACAACCAGATCGTCAAAGATAATGTATCATCAATCTCTGCCAAAAAAGTTTCGCGCCAAGGTGTGATCCGCACCCGCGATCCCCAACCATCAATCGAGACAGCAGCGACGACAAACGACCACGCATCGTGCACTGAGTTTGCATAATGATAACACATTTGCATAATCACAATGATAACGCGCGGAGGATCCCCTCGGTCGATACCGTAGGATGCACACACGGATATATAGGCTCGCACAGGTTATGCCGCGTTCGCACTGCTGGTGGAGAACTGCTCGCGAATTGTTCAGTGCGAATTCACTTTAAACTAACCAAACTAACGATTAGGTTACTGCGAGTTCGCTCGCCACAGTGAATAAATTTAGTGGTATCAAAGAATCTATTTCGCGAACTTGAAACGCGTCGTGTGGAAGCGTCGAGGGCCTTACTTTGTAATGCCGCGTTCACACTACTGGCAAACTGTTTGCTAATAGTGCAATGCAGACATTTCTGCGAGCTATGATCAGGTTACAGCGAGTTCACTTGTAAGAGAGAAATCTGTTTGTGAACTCAAAGCGTATATGGGAGCATTAAGAATCTTAATGCCGTGTTCACACTATTCGGAAACTGTTCGCCAACAGCAATGTAGATATTTTAACGAACTGTGATTTGCAACAGTGTTTGTTCAAAGAATCTGTTTTTGAACTCGAAGCATTGAGGGCCTTATTTTTTGTAATGCCGCGATCACACTGCAGTTGGCGAACA